CCGTCCTACGTGGCCCAGTTGCTAAGTTGCCTTTTGTGGCCCCGCATTACCTGCACTTCGTGGCCCCCGATCGTTCGCGCTCCCTTCGTGTCCCCGCTGTCGCCCTTCGTGGCCTACTTCGTGCCCTTCGTGGCCCTGCTGTCGTTCTCTCTCGCTCTCGCTTTCGCTCGTCGTCGCCGTCGTCGTCGTCGTCGCCGTCGTCTTCGACGTCGTCGTCGTCGTCGTGGTCGGTCCCCTGTCCGTCCCTCTTCGGGTCGGGTCGACTGTCCGCGGCAGCCCCGCCGATCAGCGCTGCCGCTGGCCAGGCCGACGGTCCGCGGCCGCCCCGCCGCTTGCCAGGGCCAGGCCTGCAGGGAAGAGAGGTATACCCTTCAAAAGGGGTTCGATCGAAGACGAAGAGGGCTGGTATCGAGGGTTCGGGAAATACGCGTTATTGGACACTCGAGCATGTAAGGGCGAACAGTCTTAAAGTTATTATTGGTGTTGTTGTTGTGGTTGTTGTTGTTGTTGGTGTTGTTGTTGTTGTGTTCGGTGTCGTCGTTGTTGTTGATGATGATGTTGGTGGTGGTGTTGTCGTTATGGTTGGTGTTGCTGTTGTTGCTGCTGTTGTTGGTGGTGGTGCTGTTGTTGGTGGTGGTGCTGCTGTTGTTGCTGTTGTTGTTTGTGCATGTGCTGCTACTGTTGTGTCTTTGTGTCCCTCCGGGAGCTACTGTTGTTGGTGTTGGTGGTGTTGTTGCTACTGTTGTTGTTGCTGCGGGAGCTCGCGCCGCCGACGGTTAACGTCAGTCAGCTAACGACCGACTATTTGTGGTCAGAGCGTTCAGCGGCTGAGCGGAGCGCCATCCGAGCGATGCGGCGGGCGAGAATTCATTTGCTCGCGTCTCAGCGATGCGGAAGGTGGGCTGCGCCTTCTTCCTCTGTGCCTGGTACTATTCGGCTAACTCCTCTCATCCCTCCCTCCAAGCGGACAGGGAAGATGCCAGGAAAAGGCCACACGCTGAACATTTGTATTTTGGTCCCCTGGACCAGGGGGGCTTCTACAAAAAGGCCCTTCCCTTGGGGAAACTGCCCAGCTGCAGCCCTGCGCGAGCCGTCCTCAAGCTGAACATGTGCCTCCCCCCCTCTGGAGCCTCCTCCAGCGGAAACTTCCGGTCGGAACGCGCAGCGGGGATTACGCCTTAGGGGTACCTCACCCGCCAGCAGGAGCGCCCCCGCCAGGGCTGCGGGGGGGGGTCGGTCGGGAACGCCTCTTCATGAACATAAAAGCAAAATGCCACCCCACCCCCCAAAGCTGGCGTGTACCAAACGGCCCTCGGCCTTTACGAAGCAGCACTGCCCTGCTCAGTTCCTTCCCAGGGTGCGTTCACTTCACGGTTTCGTTTGTCGGGGTCTTTTTTTTATGAGGGCATTTGTTGTTCTGCTCTGTCCTGGAGATCTCCGAGCGGCGCGGCATCGCCCCGCAAGGCTACGCACCGCTCCAGCACCGCGGGGTCACCCGCAGCCGCCCCTGCCGGCGGGTCAGGGCAGGCAGAGGCAGAGGCTGCGGGAGGGGCACGCCTCCCCTCCGCGCGGAGACGCCCGCGCTCGCGAGCGCGTGCCCAGCGCGCGGCGCGGCGCGTCCCTGGGGTCGTGGAACCAGGCCGCCGCGCGACCGGGCGCGGGAGCGCCCTGCCCCCGAGCAGCACTGTTCGGGGTTTGGGGTGTGCGCGGACGCTCCTACTTGGCAGCTCGCCTTGTGTCCCTTCGTGCTGCTTGCGCGGCCCTCTGTGAGGCCTATTGGGGCACGTTGCTGCGGAGGCCGGGCAGCCCTGCTACAGGCCTTCCTCTCCCGCCCGTGCCGAACCGTGTCTGCGGCCACCTCTGCCGGAAGCTGCATGCAGACCGATCTTTGCACGATGCTCGCAGCGTCGTCCATGGGACCACTGGATCCCCCCAGCGCTGCGAGGCGGCGCAGCTGCGACGCCCCCCCGCGCCGCGCGGGGCCCCCTGCCGCAGGTCGCGCGGCGTGGCGCCCGCTGAACCGCGGAGCGGCACCGCCGCGCGAGCGCGCAGAGGAGCATCCCGCCCCCGACAACGGCCCGACAATCCTGATGTGGGCGTGTGCTGCACGACGACGACGACGACGGCCCCCTCCCTCGTTCTCTCTCTCTCTCTCTCTCTCTATCGCCCTCTTTCCCCTCGTCCTCGTTCCCTCTCCTCAGCCCCCTCATCCCCCTCCTCTCCTCCCCCTCCTCCTCCTCCACCGTCCCGTCCATCTCCTCATCCTCCTCCTCGTCCTCCTCCTTGTCCTCCTCCTCATCCTCCTCCTCCTCTTCCTCCACCTCGTCCTCCTTATCCTCCTTCCGCCTCCTCCTCCTCCTCCTCCTCCTCCTCCTCCCCCCTCCTCCTCCTCCTCCTTCTCCTCCCTCCCTCCTTCTCCATCTCCTCCTCCTCCTCCTTCTCCTCGCCCGTCTCATCCCTCCTCCTCCTCGCCGGCTGGGGGCGGGCGCTGCAGCCGCAGGCCTCCCCCGCTCGCGTGCGCCCGCCTCCCCCCGCTGGCCGCGCCAGGCCCTCTCCGCGTCGATCGAGGCCACCCTGGAGAAGTCGGGCAAGCTCGCCCTGGACATCGTGGCCATGAAGGACCCTTCCAGCATCAGGGCGATCGAAAGGGGCACAGAGGGATGGAGGGTTTCTCCGAAGGGCTTAGGCGACCCCTCCTCCTCCTCCTTCTCCTCCTCCGCCTCATCTCCTCCTCCTCCTCCTCCTCTCCTCCTGCCTCCTCCTCCGCCTCCTCCTCCTCCTCCTCCTCCTCCTCCTCCTCCTCCTCCTCCTCCTCCCCTCCCTCCTCCCTCCTCCCTCCTCCTCCTCCTCCTCCTCCTCCTCCTCCTCCTCCTCCTCCTCCCTCCACCCTCCTCCCTCCTTCAACTCCTCCTCCTCCTCGGGTCGCCTACGGCCCTGGGGGAACCCGTGCCCGGAAGGAATGGGTACGATGCCCAACAGGAGTTCTTGTTCATATTGAACGGGGCTCGTTGTCCGCGATCATCATCACCATCATCACCATCATCATCATCATCAGCATCATCAGCGGCATCATCAGCATCATCATTATCATCATCATCATCCTCATCATCATCATCTTCGTCATCATCATCATCATCATCATCATCATCATCATCATCATCATCATCATCATCATCATCATCATATCATCATCGTCGTCATCATCACCATCACCACCATCATCATCATCAAAATCATCGTCATCATCATCATCATCATCATCATCATCATCATCATCAGCATCCGCCCCCCGCCTCCTCGCCCTCCCCTTTTTCCTGCGTTCTCCCAGCTTCATGATGAGCGTCGGGGTGGCGCCACCCCCGCCGACAGCCCCACGTCGAGCCCCGCCGCGGGCAGCCGCCGCACGCCGAAGGCGTTCCGACCCCCGTCGCAGCGCGACGACGAGGCGAGGTTGATCCAGTCGGGGGGGAGGGGTACACACGACGGGGGTCAAGCGCACCTCCGACGGGACGGCGGAGGAGGAGGAGGAGGAGGAGGAGGAGGAGGAGGAGGAGGAGGAGGAGGAGGAGGAGGAGGAGGGGAGTGAGGAGGAGGGAGGAGAGGGAGGGAGGGAGGGAGGAGCGGGAGGGAGGGAGGGAGGGATAGGGAGGAGAGTGAGGAGGAAGAGGAGGAGGCGGAGGAGGGAGGAGGGAGGAGGAGGAGGGAGGGAAGAGGAAGGAGGGAGGGGAGGGGAGGCGAGAGGAGGCGGAGGGGAGAGGAGGGGGCGGAGGAGGGCGGACGGAGAGGGGAGAGGCGAGGAAAGAGCTGAGGGAGAGGAGGAGGAGGCGGGACGGGAGGCGGAGGAGGGTCGGAGGCGGCGGGGAGGAGGGAGGAGGAGGCTGCGCTGGCGACGGCCAGCGCGCTCCGCCGCGGGCGCGCTGCCCCGCGGGCGCGCTCCGAGGAGGACATCGACGACACCTCCAAGACGCTTTCGGAGGAGCCCGCCGCCCCCTCCCGCCGCGCCTGCCCTCGGCTGCCTCGGCCTCCACCACCCCCACCCCCTCTCTTCCTCTCCTCCTCCTACCTCGTCGCCTCCTCCTTCCTCCTTCTCCTCCCTCCTTCTCATATCCTCTCCTTCTCCTCCTCCTCATCCTCATCCTCCTCATCATCATCATCAGCATCATCATCACCCTCATCACCATCATCATCACCACCATCATCACCACCATCATCATCACCATCATCATCATCAGCATCATCACCGATCATCATCACCACCATCATCATCACCGATTGTTATCTTCCTCGCTCCTCCGCCTTCTCCTCCTCGCTCATTCGCCTCCTCCTCTTCCTCCTCCTCCTCTTCCTCTTCCTCCTCTTCCTCCTCCTCCGCCTGCCTGGGTGGGAAGACCTCATCTTCCTCCTTCGCTTCCTCCTCTTCCTTCTCGCTCCTCGCCTCTCGCTCGTCCCTCCTCCTCCTCCTCCTCCTCCTCCTCCTCCTGCTCCTCCTCCTCCGCCTCCTCGCGTCGCGGTCCCCCAGATCATCCTCTCGCGTCGAGAGCAAAAAACACGGCGGAAGGCCTGGGGCCGTCTTCGGCCTTCGGAGGCCCTCGCTGGGGCCCCAGGGCCGTCAAGAAACGACTCGCGGCGAAGAGTGGACCCCGTCCTCCTCCTCCTCTCCTCCTCCTCCTCCTCTCCTCCTCCTCCTCCTTCTCCTTCTCCTCCTCTTCCTCCTCCTTCTACCTCCTGCATCCTCAGCGTTCATCTCGTACCACCCTTCTCCACATCCTCCATCCTCCGTCCCTCTCGATCCTACTCCGACCTCCAGGGGCCCACGTTGCGAAACAGCACGGCGTATGGGGTCTGGGTTTCTCTTCTGATGATAGTTTTCTTATCATTGGGGATGGGTGTTCTTTTGAGAGCCAGGGCTTGAGTTAAACTGTGTTTTTGGCGATCTCGTTGACCCTCTTCGTTTTGATCGCGTTCTGCAGAAAAGAAGTGGAAACGACGACAGAGCGAGGGAAAACGAAAACAAAGCGAAAACGAAAACACCGCTTAGCTCGAGCCCTGAAGATCGTTTTCCTAATCACTGTTTTGCCGATCGGCCCGGGCCCTCGCCCCCCCTTCCCCCCCCATGGAGTAGATCTTGGCTGTGTGTTGGGCGCCTGTCTCAAGCAGGTGGAGTCCCAAATAGGACGCACTGTTGCAAACAGTCGCACTAAGCAGAGGTCCGGAGCCAGACCCTCCCCCCTCCCCCCCCTTCCGCCCAATGTCGAGAAGCCGAATCAGACAACGCTCCTCTTCTGTACCCTCGGGGCATCCCCCTCGTCGCCACGGCTAGATAGATCCACCTCGAGGCCTTGGTCAGAGCGCGTTCTAGGAGACGTCCAGGGGCAACTTGTGAAGGGGACGAGCCCATCACGTCGGCGCTGTGGCGTGAGCGCGCGGGGGACAGCATGGGGGGGCACGGGGGGGAGCAAGGCGGGCAGCGGGCCAGGTCTTCCAGGAGCTGCCTGCAGCATCCACCGGAGCCGCCAGCGTTGTAACGACGCCCCTTGCCCTGACCCTGGCCGCCCCTCGCGCCGCGAGCCCGGTTCCAGCCCTCCACGAATGGCGCCCCGCATGTGCCCTTGAGGCGGTTGATGGGCTCCGGCCAGCGGGATCAAGCCGTGCAGTCGAGCCCGATCAGGGGAGGAAAGGGTACCCATGCCGCTACCCTTGCTGGGTTCACGCCTGGGAGGCCTCGTCGCCAACGCTGCATTCGCCTCGAAATCCTGGTCAGAACGCACCCCGGGAGAGGCCCACGGAGAGAGCGGCATCCGAACCTTTTGGTTTCCCCGGCATCGGCGGCGCGCGGCCGCAGGTGCCCGCGAGGCGGCTGATACGCTCCAGCCAGAGGGGTCAAGCCAGGCAGTCCAGCTCGATCAGAGAGTCGGCCACGCGCATCAGGGAACTGGGGGAGGGCAGCAGTTTCTTGGAACCCCGGCTTCTTAGACGGCGCGGGCCTTGTCTATAGATGCAAGGCCGGCGCCTTCTGAGAAGCAGCCTCCTTCGAAGAAGCATCCCCCCCCTCCCCCTACCCCCCGAGTGCGCGCCGTCAAGAGAAGGCACGGGGCACGCTAGAGGACGACACATGGGAGGAACAAGCGAAACTGCACAAGCATGCACTTTCGGCGCCCCGCGCTGATTTCCTGGATCGGCGCCTGGGGCCCCCGGGCGGCGCTTCGGGCGCCGCCCCTGGCGCGCCCCGCGTGCCAGGAAGGGGGGTCCAGCGCCGATCCTGGAAATCCGCGCGGAGCGCCGACATTTTATGTTTATGCAGTTGGTCTGCTGCTTCTAACGCAACCGAGTTTGATTAGCAGATCGAGCCCTTCCAAAGCAAGGGTGCCCTCGTGTCCTGTGCCTCGCGCCCCACATCCTCCTTGCGGCCCTGGAGCCGTGTGGCCCTCGGAAGGGGCTTGTGTCCCTTTCGCGCGCCTCTCCCATCAAGCTCGACTGTACGCCTGGTCCCCCTTGGCATCGCTCGGGCGCGTTCTTCATCCCGGCAAGGACCACGGAGGAGCACTGCCAGGCCATCTTGCGAAAACACATACTCCAGATTTCGAAATAAAGGGAGGGGGGTCTCATTTCGGGGGGGGTCTCTTCCAGGCTATCTTGGAGGGCCTGGGGGGTCTGGGGACGATGTTTTGGGGGCTTCTCCCACGGGGGAGGTCTGAAGTGGCTTGTCTTGGAGGGTCCAGACCCCCTCCCTTTTGTTACGAAATCTGGAGTATACACGCGCGAAGCCGAAACGTGCACGGGGAGCGGACGTCCGCGCGATGGCGAGCCACGCGCGGAGCGGCGGCAGCCGCGGGTCGGTGGGGCAGCGGGGGCGGCGGCGTGGGCGGCGCGGGCGGGCGGGAGCGGCGGCGGCGGCCGAGAGGGCGGGTACGGGCGCGGCGGGAGGGCGGGGGCAGGCGCCGCGCGCGGGGCGTTGCAGAGTGGGGCCTGGCCTTGGAGGATCGATCGAGTTTCCCTCTCTCCCTCCTCCTCCTCCTCCTCCCCCTGTTCCTCCTCCACCTCCTCCTCCTCCTCCGTCCTCCCTCCTCCTCCTCCCCCTGTTCTGTTTTTCTGACTTTAGGTCGCTCCACAACCTCCTCCCTCTGTTCCTCCTCCTCCACCTCTCCCTTCTCCTCCTCCCTCCTCCCTCCTCCCTCCTCCGGCTCTCAAAAGGATTCCTGTTGAAAGGAGGCCCGAAAAAGTTTTGAGGGGGGGGGAAACAAGTCTTGCCGGCGGAAGGCGGCGGAAGTAAAGCGAGGCCGCCTCCGCCGGCGGAAGGCCGGCAGAACGCGGCGGAAGTAAGAGATACGCCCCCAAGAGATGACAACAATTTCGGGTTCAGGGTTTCTGGGATCCGCCATCTCTGGGGGACTCTTGTGTCTTTGCCTCTGCGGCCCGTCCTTTGCCGTTTTCACTGGTCGCCCGCCGCCCACAAATTCCAACTTCGGCCTCCAAGGGCTTTGCGTCCTTACCACCCGTCCTCAACACACGTTTTGGAAAGCGCGCCACTGGATGGCCCTGAATACACAAAAGGGGGGGTGCTCGCAAAACCCCCCCCCTCCCCCCATTCAAAGGGGGTGAGATTTTCGACCCCCCCTCCCCTCCCCCACTTTGCGCCGAACAGGGGGTTGGGGAGGGGGCCTCTCGGGTAGTGAGTAGGGACTAGAGCGTTTTGAGTTGCGATTGGTGGGTAGTGGGTATTTGATAGTGAGTAGTGCGCAGTGAGTCCTGGGTGGTGGGTAGTGAGTAGTGGGTGATGGGTAGTGGTAGTAGTGAGTAGCTCGCAGAGATCTAGTGAGTAGTGAGGAGTGAGTGAGTAGTGTGTCGTGAGTCGTGCATGGTGAGTAGCAAGCAGGGAGTAGGGCTGATGGAGTAGACGGTAGCGAATAGCGAGGAGTGAGTAGTGAGTAGTGAGTAGTGCGCAGCGAGTAGAGAGTAGTGAGTAGTGAGTGGTGGGTCGCGTGTAGCGATCAGCGAGTAGGGAGTAGCGAGTAGGGAGCAGCGAGTAAGTAGCGAGCGGGCGTTGTGAATAGTGGGTAGTGAGGAGGGAGTAGTCAGGAATCACTGGTGAATTCTGAACAGTGCGTAGCGAGTAGGGGGTAGCGAGTAGTGAGTAGTGATTTGTGAGTAGTGAGTAGGGAGTAGTGAATAGTGAGTAGTGGGTTGAGTAGTAGCGAGTAGGGCGTAGGTAGTAGTGAGTAGTGAGTAGTGGGAGCGTAGTGAGTAGTGAGTAGTGGGTCGTGAATAATGCGTATTGGGTAGCGGCTATGGCGTAGGGAGTAGCGAGTAGTGAGTAGTGGGTATTGAGTACTGTGTAGGGAGTAGCGAGTAGTGGATAGTGAGTAGGGAGTTGTGGGCAGTCAGTAGTGAGTAGTGAAGTGTGAGTAGTGAGTGATGGATAGTGGTTAGTGGCTAGTGAGTAGTGATTTTTGATTAGTGAGTAGTGGCCCCCTAGTGAGTTGTGTTTAGTGAGTAGTGAGTATTGAGTAGTGGGTTGTGATAAACGAGTAGTTTGTAGTGAGTACTGAGCAGGGAGTAGGGAGTAGGGAGTAGTGCGTCGTGGGTAGCGAGTCGTGGGTAGTGAGTAGTGAGTCGTCAGTAGTGAGTAGTGAGAAGTGAGTAGTGAGTAGCGAGTAGTGAAGTGAGGGTTGTGAGTAGAACGTAATTGAGTAGTGAGTACTGTTTGGGGCTAGGGTTTGGGTTTGGGGCTAGGGTTGGGAGTTAGGGTAAGGATGAGGATTCGTGTTAGGGGTGGTGGGGGCCGGGCTCCGGAGACCGATGGCGCCGTGGCGGAAGGGAGGGAGGGGGGGGGGCTTCGAATTTGGCGGCCAATGGAGGGGAGGAGAGGGGGGGGGGTCGGAACCTCCCCCCCCCCTTTGACAGGGGGGGAGGGGGGGGTCCCCGACGACGGACCGGGAAAGGGAGGGGGTCCCCGACGACGAATCGGAACTGGGGGGGGGAAGGTCCCAACCCCTCCCCCCCCCTTGAGGTCATCCAGCGGCGCGCCCTCGTCGACCGTACTGCAGTGGTCGGTTCGACAGGCAGCACGTTGCAACAGTTGCAAGGTGACTGCAGCCCCACTTGCAAGGCACCTGCCAATGGGCTGCAAGTCCGCGTGGCTGCTCCAAGAGGGGTCCGCGACATACTCAGGCTTCGATCAGTTCGGTGGTTTTGCAAACCGCTTGCAGGCGCCCGGCAAGCGGGCTTCGAAGAAGAAACAATGGCATAACCCGAAACTTGTGACAGTCCCTGCGGATTTCTGGGATCTGCGCGGAGGCCCTCCTGGCGCCACTCGGTGCCGTTCCTGGCGCGCCCCGCGCGCCACGGAGGGGAGGGGCCAGCGCAGATCCCATACCCGCTTGGAGCATCAAACTTGACGTTTATGCAGTTTTCGTCGAAGCCCGTTTCCCGGGCGCCGGCAAGTGGGTCGCAAGTCCGCCGAATTTTTCTTACGTCTGAGTAAGTCGCCGGACCCAGCTTAGAGCAGCCAGGCGAACTTGCAACCCACCCGCAACTGCTTTGCAAGTGGGTAGCAACCACCTTGCGCAACTGTCGCAAGTCACAGCGATCACTGCAGCAGCCCTGCCCCTGGACAGGTTGGCGGGCGACGCGTGGGCCCTGTCCCGAGTGTCATGTTAGGCTCCTGGGCCGCTCGGGATGGCCGAGGACCCGACGAGGCGACGAGGCCAGACTCATTCTCTAAAGCTCTGGGCAGGCTCGCGTCCTGCGTGGACCGGCGGCGACCCCGCCCCTCACCGCCCACCAAACTACCCCAACCCAGCCCGAAGGCTCAGATTTGCCCTCGCTTCCCAGTGGGGGGGGGGGCGGGAAACATCGACAAACACATGTAGAACCCTTGCCCCCCCCCTAACCCGAAATTCGGGTCTTCGGGTCGGGATGGTCTGGTGGGTAGTCAGCCCCTGCCCGCCCCCGAGGACAAGGCCTTCCTCGACGGCCTCGAGACGGGCCCGCCGGGCCGGGCGCCAAAAGGGAGAGGGGGGCGGGGCCGCGCGCGCCCTGGCGAAGCGGGCCCTCGGGCCCTCGGAGCCCGACGCGGCGCGGGCGCGGCCTCGGCGTCGAGGTCCAGGCGGCGGCGAGCGACGGGGGGAAGGGGAAGCGAGTCGGAGGTGGGTAGGCCTCCTACCCTGGCACGTCGATTCAGGAATCGGCCGTGTTCGGTTCGCGAGAGGGCGTCGCGGCCGTCCTTTTTGCGGGTCCAGGTCCGGCGGTTTCGGTCCCAGGCCCTTTTCACCAAAGGGAGGTTTACTAAAGGGATGTTTGTCCACCGCCGAGCGAGTGACCCGGTGCAAATCGACCGTGCACGCGCTCTTGCATCCTCTTGAGGCGAGTGGGTTGGCTGGCGCGTTGGGGGTCTCGTGGGGAGCAGCATCGCCACCCAGGATGCGCGCACGAAGTGAACGGATCGAGAGGCCTTCGAGGGGAAATGCAAATCCGCGTACCGCCGGTTTCCTCTCGGTCAGTGAGACGGAGAATGCCCTCTCAGAAGGCGGCGGGGCCTCTCAGAAGGCCTCCGGCCTTTTGAGCGCGGTTTTCAGCGTCCGCAGGGAAGGCTGAGGAAACTTCTCTCGAAGGCTGAGGGACTGCCGAGCCTTCTGAGAAGGCCTTCTCCTCACTTCCCCCCCGCGCTCGCCGCCGCAGCAAGGATCGAGCATCGGGGTTCGAGGGTCAAGGGTCAAGGATCGAGCATCGAGGGTCGATCGGGCCGAACGAGAGAGGGGGATAGGGAAAGGAGGGGTCATACAATCTGCTGCATGCAGCTGGTTTCGGCCCCGCCGCCGGGCCCAGTCCTCGATGCATGGGCGCCGGGAGGCGCCGGGGAAATCAGCTACGTGAGCTGATTCGCCAACCCCTCCTTTCGCGCGACCCGAGCCGAGGGTCGAGGGTCGAGGGTCGAGGGACGAGGGTCGAGCTCGAGCCAATTGGCCCTGGGATCCCTGTGTCCCAATCTCTTCGAGAGGGGCGTTTTCGCCCAGATTCGGGCTTCGGGATCCCTCACAGATCGACGCGGCTCGAAGCATGGCGCAGAAGGATAAATTCTAGGGCCCCAGTCGGGGACGTCGGATTTCAGAGCGGGTGGGGCGAGAGCTCCGCTGCCTGATGGCACCCCCTCCGTCCTCTCCCCCGTCCCCGCTATCCTGCTTCTCTGCTGGGCCCCTCTCTCTGCTCGCCCTCCCTCTTTCCATGCCCCCCCATTGGATCGAGCTCCTACCTTAATTCCTGCTCTTCCTCATCCTCTTTCTCCTTCTCCGAGCCGTACTGGCACAAGCGTTGTTCCTGTGCTTGCAAGCGCGTGTCTTCAGTGCGGCTCGCACTTGCGACCCAAGGATTTCTACGATCACTTCTTCCGATCGGTCGCCCATCGCCCATAGCGGCCGATGGCAACACCGCCCCCGGAGCTGCCAGATGTTTTGCGAGGTCCCAGGAGTCCTACGTAGGCGTGCGAGCTTGCGAGGCGGCCACCGCAAACTGGGCATGTAGAGTGCGGTGCGCATGCGGGCGAGAGGCCCCCTCTGCGCATCCGCAAGGCAGCCTCGGAACACCACCATAGGTGGGAGAACTATCGACATGCAGGTGGCGTTGGTGGACGTCGTTCCCACCCGAGGTCGGCAAAAGGCTTGCAGAGATTGACAAACTTCTGCGGAGTGTCAAGCCCACCACAGCCACCCAGCTTTCAGGCGAACAGGACTCGAGCAAACCTCCCCTATGGAAGGCGCGCGTGAGCCAAAGAAGGATACCAAGGTCCTGGACACGGACTCCAATGACATCAAGAAGTCCAAGCACGTGACCCAGCTCGCGCGTTTCGGGGCCAGCTACAGAGCGGCACCGCACGGTGACTCGCTGCGTGCTTCAATCCAGGAGAAGATCGACGGTATAGGCAACTAGCAGAAAGCATTACGAACACCAGTGGTGGTGCACCGCAGGGCCACGTCAAACCTGCAAAAGACATCGGCTGCTGTCAACAACTTGGGGTCCGACATCCACGAGAAGCAGAAGCAACTCGACGACTTGCAGGAGTCTCAAAAACAAACGTGCTGCGCTGGTGACCAAGAATGTTCATGTCGCCGCGTTACAGCATAAAGTTCGCCATGCAGCGCAGCAGGTTGGCTCGTCGACGGCGTCCGCGGAGAAGGCTGCGGACCCCTTCAACGTCAAGGTGGGCGATTTCGAAAATGAGGATTTGCGCAAACTGCTCGGGTCCATTGCCTGGGCGAAACTACGATTGCACACTGCTGGCCACATGCCTGCCCAGATGGAAGCCGACATGCCCCATTCCGCTGAAGATCCTGACAACGGGTATAAGATTGCTGGGTCTGGTGACAACACGCGCTCCCTCGACGAGTTAGAAGAGCCCAAGAGACAGCAGCTGTGCGAGGCCGCCCAGTCTGGACAAGGGGCTTTCACCGCACTCTTCTGTGAGCTCGGCAAGAGGTGAAAATGTTCTGATGACGAGCTCCCCCGTTGCTCTGGGCTGCGGTCACGAGGTGGCGCAGTGCGACGGTCCGTCCAATCTGAATGTCAAGGCCCCATCTTCGTGGAGACTTTGAACGACAGCTGTGGGCGTGAACCGGTTAAGGCTAGGTTGGTGAAACCGATTAATTTCATCATCCTATACCAGGAGATTGGATGCACGGCTGACAAGCTCGAGTCGCTTCACTCATGGGCGCACAACAGGCAGTGGAAGTTTTCGGCTTTGCCTGCTCGTAGAACGGCAGGCTCGGTACCATCCAGTGGAGTTGCTGCATATGTGCACGACGCCCCAGGACTACGACATCCTGTAGGCGGGCAGTTGATATGGCAGCAGAGGTTACAACGCGTCATCGTCGACATCAACGGTTGGCCTCCCATATCCATATCCAATGTGCATTTTGGAAGATGATACCGGAGCACTTGGTATGGATGTTGAATTGCCCGCAGCAGTTGGACGACTGATGGCACAGGGTCTTCGGCAAGCCCTCATCGGAGGTGATCGGAATTTGGCACCGATTGATCTTGAGCAGTCGGTTTTCCCCCAAAATGCGAGCCCGGTCACAGCATATCCTGAGCGCGTTGCCTTTAGAGGTGGCACTAGCACCGGCACGATTGTTTTCTCTTGTCTGAATGATGCGTTGGTCCGCGGGCATCGCGGCGGGCGGCGATGTCATGGCGCAGGGAAGCTCACCGACCGGTCCAGTCGCAGCTAGTGGACAATATGGAGTGGAGATCCAGCATTCTGCATATGCCGCATCGCCGAAGCTACCTGCTGCCCCATCCGCCAGGCCCGCTGACGCGGCCTGTCGATTGGACCTTGCGTCAAGCGCCAGCGGCGCGAACAGTGGAGACGGCGACGGACCCCAGCAGCGACGCGGCCGTGGTCTGGGCTCGGCGGACAAGTGTGCACGGCGAGGTCGCAGTCTATTCCGCCGGGCGCACAGCCCGGAACACTGGGGTCGAACTGCATGTGAGGAACTTTGGACCACGGTGGATTAATCCGTCGTGCCCTTCTACAGATATCAGCGATTTGCAGAGCACGGGTCAAGGCTGGCAGTGGCTCCAGAACGGCAGCACCACGATCCAATTGTTTCACGACAGACCTGATTCTGCGATGCAGTGCTCAGAAGAGATTGCGACGCTTGCCACCATTCCATACTCTGGGCAAGGGCCCAACGCCAGGCTGGATGTTGCGGCGGTGCAGGCTCGCAATTTGGTCAATGCTATGCCGATGGGTCTGGATCAGACCCAGGCTTTGGACGATGACACTGCGGGCAATGCTGTCCGCGCCGTTTGAGGGCAGGGTAAATGTGCCAAAGCTGAACGCTAAGAGTGGCATCGCGTAGCGTCGCGCGGGGGCGCAGGCCGCTCCACCGCAGCGCGAAGGCCAAGGTTATTCCGACGCCAGCAGTGGCGATCGGCATTCAGTCAGGTAGCCCAGTCGTCATTGCGGCACAAGGTGTTGAGATGCATCGACGGCCGCGGCGCGTATCCGGCGTCGCGCAACCGGCATGGCTTCCTGATCGCTCGACATGCCCCAAGCTGGAGCCAGGGGGCCTACGACGTGCAGCTCGATCCTTTTCCCGCAGACGCCGATGCCAGCGACGACAATTTCCACCCGCGGCACATGCTGCTGCTGGACGACGACGGCCCAGACACGCTGGCACTATTGTTGGCGGCGTCTGATGCTATTGGGACGTTGCCCAAACAGCTTCGCTGGATCCAGATGCTGATGTTGGGCAGGCCGCCCGGCGGCAATAGTCTGGTTAGATTGTGCCCGCCAGCCCATCGCACGCGGCAGCGAGCCAGGAAGCCAATGGTTGCGCAGGTTCATGACACGCTTGACCGACGCTATTGGGGCGCCAGCAACGAACGGTCTGCCGCGGGCTGCGCGCGGCCGCAGGCGGGCCGCGCTGAGATCAACCGAGTCGCTCACACATTTAGCTTCATGAGAGTCGCGGGCCGGGGGAAATGTGGCGAATCGATTCCGCCATTGGATTTGAGACGCCAGTTCGAAAGGCATGGTGCCCAACGTGTTAGCTCAAGCTGGTCGTCGACATGCGGGCGCGTGCAAGAATCATCCAGCTCGGACGGCATCGCGCGCAGCGCGCGTTGGTGGCTACTCGTCGACGCCCAGCGGGCGGCGGGCGCAGCGAACTGGCAATCGAGGTCCATGCCGCTGATGCGTTCTACTCCTTAGCGCAGGCGGCGCCATTTACGGATTTCCAGAACTGCGTCGACGACGCTTGGACGCGCGCGTCGCCCAGTGAATATATCGTCGCGAAGACGGCGGCAGCAGCAGCAGCGATGCATTTGTTCAAAGCAGCAAGTGCGAAGTTGAACGCCGTGCTGAACCCCGGCAAGTGATCGATGCTGCCCTCGTCAAAGGAACTAGCTCGGGATGAGCGCTTTGCTTTTCAGCTACCACAGTCTGTCCGTAAAACGAGCGTCGCGTATGTTGGGCTCAGTGAGTCCGCGGGCGCCCGACGGCAT